GCTTGACCCAATTCTGGCTCAAATTTTGAAATGGTTAAAAAAAAGTAAGCCCCGTAGGCCCAAACACACTTCCATTCTCCAGTCAGTTCATTCACAATCTCAAAGGCCCAAAAAAAAAAAAAGGGAAAAAATCTCTGAAGTATCTTCTTCGCCACCTCCTTCCTCAGTTCCTTCGTTCTGCCGTCTCTGTTTGGATCGCGAATTTGTCCCTCTTTCACTTTGTTCTTCTTCTGCATATCAGTGTTCTGTCATCGGAGTCACCATTGTATTGGAGCCACCATTGCTGATGAAATTTCTGAAATCGTCGTGGGTCGATCTCAATTGGATGTTGAAGTAGTTAATTATGAAATCTTGGGAGGTCTGGGTTCAATTGAATTTTGAAGGTGTTTCTCTGTCCTTCAACCTTCTTCCATAAAGTATCTTTTTAATTTTCTGAAATTGGAAATTGTTTTTCAAATTGTGGTTTAAAATTGCAATATATTTCTGTGGTTTTTCTTGATTTTGTGAAGTAGATGTCAAAGAAGCGAAACTGAAAGAGTCGAGCTCAAAATTAACCTCAACCCCCAAGGTATATTCCCTACAAAACCTTGTTAAAAACTATATCTATATATCAAGAATTCTGCACCTGTCTAATAAGAGGATTACTTGTCTTAATTTTTCTATTTGGTTGTGGTGAGTGGTGCAATCTTGATTGAATAATGCAGTCAAACATAAACATACAGGAGTTCAAGGATTTAGGTGAAACACAGCCCTAACACATTTCTTCACCTAACATGTAACTAGAGTGTACCTAGAGAAGAAGCCTCACAAGATCAACAGAGATCACCCCATGGACCCGAAGAGCCAACAATATTGACCACACTTCTTCAACATTAACAGCTCATGGGGCTTTGGTGGGTTTAAATTAAACTGATGAGTGGGGATTGACTGGAGGATAAGGAACTTCAATGGTTCCTTCTAGCATCTGTGAGACTGTCTTCATAGTGGGTCTCAGCGATGGGTCATCTTGAATGCACCAGATGGCAATCATTACAAACTTCTCTACCCTCTTAATGTCCTCCATTGCCTCTTCGTCCTTCTGAACTAGCAGTGGCATTCTCCCTTCTTCATAGCAATCATATGCCCAATTAGCCAATATCTTTTGATTTTCGTCCTCTGCATCTTGCTCAAAACTCCTCCTACAACAAATGAGCTCTAGCAACAGAATTCCAAAGCTATAAACGTCGACCTTGACTGTGACAGGCTTGTTTCTGAACCACCACTCTGGAGCAACATATCCTCTTGTTCCCCTAATTTCTGTAAGAGTTCGTGTCTGGTTTTTCTCCAAAAGCTTTGCTAATCCAAAGTCTGAAATTCTTGCAGTGAAGGAGTCATCTAGCAAGATATTTTGAGGCTTGATGTCACAGTGTATGATCTGGTCGCTGCACTCTTCATGCAAATAAACAAGCCCTCTTGCAGTTCCAAAAGCAATTTCAGTTCTTTTATACCAGCTAGGCCTTGAATTCTTGAAAAGGTAAGATGCTAAAGATCCATTGCTCATGTATTCATACACCAAAAGCCGATGTTGTCCCTCATTGCAAAATCCTAGCAATTGTACAAGATTTCTGTGGTTTGTCTTGCCAATTGCACTCATTTCTGCTTGAAATTCCATCTCATTGCGGTCTTTCTCCATCTTGTCCAATCTTTTAACGGTAATAAAAGTCTTATTACCAATATCTAAAATGCCTTTGTAAACTGTTGAACAAGCGCCCTTTCCAAGTTCTTCCTCAAATTTATTAGTAGCTTCCTCAAGCTCCTTATAGGTGAAGCTTTGTAGACTCATGCCTTGGGTTGCTCTGGAAGGTTGAAGCACGCTTGTTTTCCTGTATCTTAAGACGGAAACAAACCATAGAGTAGCAAGCAATAGAACAAAGATAAAAAATGCTGAGAAACCTGAGAGCAGAGCCAGAACAAGAATCAGAGTTGACTTATGCTTCTCCTTTGAACACATGCCTGGACACTCAGTAGTAGGTGTTGATGTAGAATTGCCTTTCCTTATTTTGAAAAGTGACTTTCCTCCAAGACCAGTATCAAATCTTCCATTCGCGAGAGGAAATCTCTTCTTCCAACATTGATCATTTTTAGAGAATGCAACAGCACAATAGCAATCAGTTAAGCAGGACTTTCTGCACCAATCCTCAGTAACCAATTCAAAATATTCGTAATCTGACCTAGGCCAATCTGTGTTGATCATATCCTTGATATCAAAAAGATCTGCATCTTGGCCTCCAGGACCGTCACACTCTTGTGGGACAAAATCCCGTTTACATCCGTTCATGTCATTATCTGGATTTGAGTATGAGTATCCAGGTGGGCACAGGCATTTAGGTCTCTGATCATTTCCTAGAATACAGTAGCTGTTGTACCCACAAGCTCCACCACCAGAACCTTGTCGGATGCTTGTGCAAATATTTTCTGGTACATAGGACAGAAAGGACCAGCCCACGGTCCTTCCACCAGTAACGCTCTTGTTCTTTGTATAGACATAATATCTGAAGACCCCATCATATTCAAGGATTGCTCGTTCGTAATAGTCCCTAGATGAAGATCCATTCGATGCTATATAGCTGAGTATGCTTCCATTTTTAGCTTCTAGGTAGATGTAGCCAGATTGATTAAAGATAACCTGGAAGCCACTGCCTGCAGTATTTGTTGCCCAGTAAGCTTCGTTCAGTGAATCCGGTGGGAACCTTGTGGTGAAAGCTACAAGATTTCCACCCAATTGCATCACAAAAGCAAATCTTCCACTTGAATAATTCATCTGTGCATAACGAGCAACAAGTCTGCTGCCTTTTTTCAATGTTTGTGTGGGTACTATTGTGTCAGTTGGCAGATTAAAACTCTCCCACAAGTTGATGGAGTCCTGGCTGGCCAACACAAAGTTCCCTGTATTGAGCATTGCTGCATATGAAACAATACCGGAGCCAGTCAAATTAGCCACCCATACCTCCTTCTCTTTTGAGTCACTGAGCTTGAACTGGCCATCTGTTGTAAGTTGAACTTTGGAGCCTTCTTGCACTAGATTTCCACCATTGGCTGACCAAATAATGGTTTTTTCAGGTATTTTGTCAAACCAGATAGCTAGTAAGAACCATCCACCTTTTATCTGTTGGAAGCCAAATGCGAAATCCCCAGATGGAGACTTCCAGGAAGAGTTTTGATTGAGTGCTGCAGTTAATGAGGAGCCCAATGTTATGTTCTGAGATGTTTGAGCTACAACCAAAACTGGCAGCAGGAAAAGTAGCGTGGGATATACAGTGTATGAAGAAGAAAAAGCCATGATTAAAATGGATGTAAGAACTAGACTTTCAAATTTTGTGCGGAAATTGAGGCTCTTACTCCTCATACATATAGCCTTTTTCTGTTCTAGTTGTATACAACTATATTTGACATTTTCAAAATTTTCTTCAATAGCATGATTTTTTTAGTGTCTTCGAGGGCTTAATTCAATTTTTAATCTATTAACTATCACCTTAATTTTATTTTAGTCTAGAAATTATGTTTTATTTCTAAGTGGTCTATTAACTTTCAGATTCATTTCAATTTCATCTACCTGGTTATCTTTGACGGAAAACTTACGCTTAAAGAACAGTTAGTCCTCTAACTATATTTATTTTGATCTTTTAGTCTTTACATTTATATTTACTGTAAAAACAACTTTTATACTTAAAATTATTATTTCTAGGCTCTGATACCGAATTTTTATTCAGGTTTTTAGAACTTAACTCAGACTACTACTAATTAATGAATAACTGATATGTTAAGCTTAGTTAGTGTGGAATTAGATCTACTAGACTACTAACAAAAATAATCACTTTTTAGTTGTGTCTAGATCTTATAAAATTTTTTATCTACATCACTTTTTAGTTGTAAAATTATTCTGTTATACATTTTTATGATTTGATTGCAAATTTTTCAACGATTGCTTTTAATGTCTTTAATAGACCTTATTTCTTCTTTTGTTTCTTTCAATTTTCTAGAGTTTTTAACATTATTTATTCTTTTTTTAGTAGAATCAAATTCTTGAGAAAGAGATTTTCTCTCTTTTTTTTTTTTTTTTTAATTCTTCTTAAGGTATTTTCATTAAGGCCAAAGCCCCTATTTGCACCCTCCATTTATTTGTTTTCTATGGTCAACACCTTCTAGAATTTTTCCTCCCTATTCACATCCTTCATTTTTCAAAACCCGTGAAAATCCAATATTTTAACGGGCCGTCACGGCACTGTTAAAAAATATATTACGTGACACCCAAAAATTAACGTGGCATTATATAACGTTAATAATCCAACGTGGATCTTTTTTTTTATGATGTGGACGCCACGTATACAATAAAATAATAAAAAATTATAATATTATCAAACAGTTACATAAATAGCATTTTTTCATTTTTTTCTTTCCTCCCTCATCCTCGGCATCATCTTCACCATCCTCGCGCAGGAGCCCGAGGAACCCGAATTGGGTTCCCCAC